CTGCTTTATCAGGCCACAGAGGAAGATGATGCTTCTGGTCCTGATAAGAACTGATAGGCTAGCCTCAGATAGTAGGGGAAGAAGACCTCCCCTATAACTGGACTAGGGAAGGGGCTTAAGGGGAGAAGAAGGAGAGAGAATGGGACTGAGAGATGAGGGAGGAGGCTAATCAAAATAAAATGTGAATAAATTATAATGAATAGTAAATAAATAAAAATTTAATAAACATGAAATATAAATAAACAGGCCTTAGGGAGATAGAACCAGTACTTAGAATGTGTATAATACTTATTCAAATATGTCCAGAATCTTTCATAGAAACTATGAAACATATACATTCTGTTTAAAGTACACATTACTAGCCCATTTACATTGGCTAACAGTGACAAAGATCTTTCTGCCAAACATTAAAACATTTTTCCAGTGTTATTAGTTAGTCTCCAGAACCTGACAGCAAGGCTCTATTGCTAAAGATATCACTATTACATCAATGAAGTTAAGCTTGTGCCCAGTTAAGAACTTCACCCCTATTGACTAGTGTTCATGTTGCTGGAAGGTACTATCCAAGCTACCTAAGGAGAAAAATAAACACCAGTATTAACCAGCTACAAGCTCTGCAATCTACAAGAGTGACTACCTGAAAGACACTGGTACAATAGTCACACAAATATTATTGGAGTAAACAACCATTATTTGTTTGGATTTAAGACCCACTGCATAAGATAGAACCCATAGCTGGCACTTCTAAAGTAACCAAGAACCTGAGACTAAATTAGGATATGAGCCCTAGGGAAAAACCTACTACTATTATTCTACCACAATAGTGGCAATAAAATGAACAAATAAATAAAACAACTCCTAATGACATATTACTATACTCATACATCAGGACACTGCTCAGCATTTACCAGAGAAGCTTCTCATTACAGTAGATGAGATTTAAGACACAGGCCCACAACTTCACAATGTTCAGGGTAGGAGACTCTAGAGCACTCAGCCCTAGACAGGATGTCTTTATCAAGTCTCAGGGATCTATGTGGAAGAGGAGGCAGAAAAATTGCAAGAGGTAGAGATGGTGGACCATTGAAACAGTGCCTTCTGGAGAAAAGAGGAACGATGCACACATAAACTCATAGAGACTGTAACAATGATGTCTGCACTTGTCCAAGCCAGATAAAATCATGGTCACAAGTAAGTGGCCAACACAACTCTCTTTTTCTGCACTTTTTAAGTTTTTTGTTGGTTTGATTTAGTTTGGTATATTTTGTTTACTTTAATCTGAATCTTTGTTTTTCTTTTGTTGTTAGAACATAAAGTTGTGTAGGTAGGGAGAATTTAAGAGGACTTAAAGGAGTGGAGGGTATATAATCAAAATAATGAAAATACACTATTTTAAAAAAATTACTTCTTCCTCTCTGATTTGTATTCCCTTGATCTCCTTTAGTTGTCTTGTTTTTCTAGGTAGGTCTTCAAGTACTATGTTGAAGAGATAAGAAGAGAATGGGAAGTCTTACCTTGTCCCTGATTTCAGTGGAATTGATTTAAGTTTCTCTCTGTTTAGTTTGATGTTGACTATAATCTTGCCATACAGTGTCTTTACTATATTTAGGTATGTGCCTTTTATCCCTGATCTCTCCAAGACTTTAAGCAGGAATGGATTTTGGATTTTGGCAAATGTTTTTTTTTTTTTTACATTAAAAAAGATGATCATGTGGTTTTTCACCCCCTACACAGATGTAGCCCATGGCAGCTCAGTAACCAAGTAGGTTCCGTAGTAAGGGGAATAGGGACTGTCTCTGACATGAACTCAGTGGCTGGCTCTTTGATCACCTCCCCCTGATGGGGCAGCAGCCTTACCAGGCCACAGAGGAAAACACTGTGGCCAGTCCTGATGATACCTGATAGGCTAGAGTCAGATGGAAAGGAAGGAGGACCTCCCCTATCAGTGGGCAGAGATTTTGGAGGAGAGGAAGGATGGAAGGTGAGTGGTAGGGGATGAGAGAAAGGGCTACAGCTGAGATACAAAGTGAAAAAATTGTAATAAATTTAAAAATAAATAAAAAGGGAATACTACTCAGCAATCAAAAAGGAGGAAATCATGAAATTTGCAGGCAAGTGGTGGGATCTAGAAAAGATCATTCTGAGTGAAGTATCCCAGAAGGAGAAAGACAAACTTGGTATATACTCGCTTATATAGAGCTACAAGACATGATAAACATAATGAAATCTACACACCTATAGAAGATAATCAAGAAAGTGGACACAGGCGAAGGTGATTAATCCTCATTTAGAAAGACAAATGGGATGTGCATTGAACTTATGACAGGAGTCTACCACAAAAGGCATCTGAAAGACTCTACCTAGCAGTGTTTCAAAGCAGACACTAAGACTCATAACCAAACCCTCGGCAGAGTGCAGGGAATCATATGAAAGAAGGGAAGTTAGTATGATATGGAAAGGATAGGAGCTCTACAAGGACCAAATATATCTGGGCACAGGGTCTTTTCTGAGACTGACACTCAACCACGGACCATCTATGGATATAACCTAGAACTTCTGCTCGGATGTGGCCTGTGGTAGCTCAGTAACCAAGTAGTTTTCCAAAGTGAGGGGAACACGGACTATTTCTAACAGGATCTCAAGGGCAGGCTGTTTGACACCCCCCCCCAGGGGAGGAGCAGTCTGTTAGGCCACAGAGGAGGACTTTGCAGCCAGCCATGAAGATACCTGATAAAACAGGGTCAGATGAAAGGGGAGGAGGTCCTCCCCTATCAGGGGACTTGGAAAGGGGCAGGGAGGAGACCAGGGAGGGAGTGTGGGGTTGGGGAGGGAATGAGGGAGCGGGATACAGCTGGGACACAGAGTTAACAAAATGTAACTAAAAAGAAAAATAAAATAAAATAAATAATTAAATAATAAAAAAAGGGAAAAATATTAAAGCCTGGGCTGCCCATCAGCTACTTCTATCTCTGCTTTAAATTATTTTTTCAGTGTATTTTTACTATTTTGATTGTATAACTTCTGCTACACTCTAATATCCAGTATATATAAAGAACTAAAGAAGCTGAAAAGCAGCAAAACCAAGTAATACAATTAAAAAGTGGGGAACAGAGCTAAACAGAGAATTATCTGTAGAGAAATAACAAATAGCAGAGAAACACTTAAGGAAATGTTCAACATCCTTAGTCATAAGGGAAATGCAAATCAAAACAACCCTGAGATTTTACCTTGCACCCATCAGAATGGCCAAGATGAAAAACTCGAGTGACAACACATGCTGGAGAGGCTGTGGACAAAGGGGAACCCTCCTTCACTTCTGGTGGGAATGTAAACTGGTACAACCACTCTGGAAATCAATCTGGCGCTTTCTAAGACAACTAGGAATAACGCTTCCTCAAGACCCAGCCATACCACTCCTATGCATATATCCAAAAGAGGCTCAAGTAAACAATGAGGACATTTGCTCAACCATGTTTATAGCAGCTTTACTTGTAATAACCAGAAGCTGGAGACAGCCCAGATGTCCCTCAACTGAAGGATGGATGCAGAAATTGTGGTACATCGACACAATGGAATATTACTCAGCAATGAAGAATAAGGAAATCATGAAATCAAGAGAGAGGATCCTGACTAAAATGCTCAATCGCCATTCCGAAAGGCAAAGAGGATGGACATCAGAAGAAGAAGAAAACAGGAAACAAGCTAGAAACCCGCCATGGAGGGCCTCTGAAAGGCTCTGCCCTGCATACTATCAAAGCAGATGCTGAGACTTATGGCCAACTGTTGGGCAATGTGCATGGAACTTTATGTAAGAAGTGGGAAATATTAAGACCTGGAGAGGACAGGAACTCCATAAGGAGAGCAATAGAACCAGAAATTTGAACACAGGGGTCTTCCCAGAGACTCATTCTCCAACCAAGTACCATGCATGGAGATAACTTAGAACACCTGCACAGACGTAGCCCATGGCATTTTAGTGTCCAAGTGGGTTACATAGTAATGAGAAGAGGGCCTGCCTCTGACATAATCTGATTGGCCTGATCTTTGATCACCTCCCCCTGAGGGGGGATCACTCTTTCCAGGCCACAGAAGATGACAATGCAGCCACTCCTGATGAGATTTGATAGACTAAGATCAAAAGGAAGGAGAGGAGGACCTCCCCTATCAGTGGACTTGGGGAGGGGCATTCGTGAAGGAGGGGTGGTAGGGTGGGGTTGGGAGGGGAGGAAGGAGGGAATTATGGGGAGATACAAAGTGAATAAAGTGTAATTAATAAAAATAATAATAAAAAAGAAGAAAAATATTTAAAGCTGGTAATTGAAAAACTATGAAACATATAAACAAACAGAAGGGGAAATGAGTGACTGATACTGTCTATGCCCCAGATATCAGATTTAACAGGAAACAAATTCAAATTTGTTATTACACATACCTTTCAAGAACTACAGAAATACATTAAAGAAATAAAAGAAAATATTAGGTCAATGTAGCATCAAATATAAAACATCAATAAAGATTATTAAAAATAACCAGGAGGAAATTCTGGATCTAGAGACTAAAAAAAAGATATGAAAAAGTTGCTGAAGAGAACAACAATAAATTCAACTTTATGTAGATATAAAAATCATCAATTGCTTAATAACTATTTCAATTAAATTAGCTTTGTTTAATCAATCATGAGTGATATTACTGATAATAAACCTTTAAAAGCTTGAACATACTGTCATTCAAAATGTTGCATACTGCCAAATAATATCTAATAAATTATCAAATGCTAAATGCAAAGCATTTTATATTATATTGATAGTTTCTGTCACAATATACATGACTTTGAATTCTAAATTTGATCTATTTTAATTGCTGGTACTTTTAGGTTCATAGAAAGTTTAGTACATACAATTTCTCCTGAGATAAATCATTTTTTAAAGAGGAACAGACATTTACTCATTTTTCTTGAATATAATGAACTGTAATAAATTTACATTAAAACAATAACTTACCGAAACTCTCCACCCGTTGGGAAGGGGTTTTTCACATCCACTGTGACTTCTTTCCTTTGATAACATGGAACTTTATATTTTAGAATCTCCTAAAGTTAAAAAAACACAATATAATAATTTCAAAACCCAGAATATCTATTTTTATTTCATCTTAAATTTATGAACTAGTCAAAAACCTAATGTCCACTTAATTATTATAAAACATAATAACATTCTTTCCCTCAAAATTAATTTATGATTAAAATTCAGATAATATAAAATGTATTTACTTAAGTCACAATAATGTGATAATAATTAAAATATGTTTTAAATGTCTCTTAAGTTGATTTCCTTCAAACTAATTTCATGAATGAATAATTAATGATTTCATAAGGAATCAGAGATTTTCTCTATCTGTGAATTGTAATATATATGTATATATATATATATATATATATATATATTAGTGATTTTTATCTATCACCTAAGACAAAAGCAGGTATATTTGTAAAATGTGCATATTCATATTGAGATGGTTACAATGGCATGGTAAATGAAAGTACATATATAAAATAAAAATCTCTGTATAAAAATTCTACAAATTTTACAGATATAAAATGTGTTATTGTCTTAAATATTTTCTCCATTATTATGTTATCTACTTCCCATTGACCTGGGAAGAGGGAGATGTATTTAGCCTGCATAGCATTCAGGCATTCAGTTTCCAGATTTTCTCCCCTGTATTGAGGTTAATGAAGTGATAAAATCAGCCACGTCATTGTACTACATGTGATAAAGTAATACACTTTTTTCAGAGGAATATATATGATATTATGTCATAGAATGAACGTGACACTGTTTCAGAGAACGTATGTGCCAGAATTGGGAAATGTCAAGTGTTCATTACTAAAGAGAAAAGTAAAAGACAACAACATGTAATAGAAAGAAATAATAACCTCCTTGGGGCATCACTGTCTATTAAGTTAGTCTATCCATGTGAACTTCTTTGGTGTTTTCTTCTTATATATAACTACCACTTCATAATTTTGAATCATTCTTTGTATTTTATACTCTGGCCTTGCACACTCAAATGTATCATCTTTTTAAATATATATATATATATATATATATATATACTTATATATATATTAAATATATATATTCTGTGTATAATATATATTTATATATTTATATATATTCTGTGTATAATATATATTTATATATCTATATATTTATATATTATTTTACACAGAATCCTGGCAAAAAGTTTGCTTGACTTTACCATATATACATGGTAATAAATAATATTTTTCAACATAATATTTTAGTAATTCTTTGGGAATTTCACATCATGCACACTGATGACACTCATTTTCCAGTACTTCCTTTTCCATCCCCTACCTTTGCAACAGAATTTGTGTTATCTATATATTCACTGGAGTATGGTCAAACTCTCAGTGGCCTGTCCCTTAAATAGAATTGAATTGTTCCTCTCCTATAGCCCTACCACAAGCCATCAGATATTTAAACAAGATTTTTATAGAAGAGTACTAATGAATTTCTGCCCTGTCGTTAGAGATATGAACACATATAATTCAATCAAGAACATCCTCATTCTTCAATAAATGTAGCATTACCATGAACTGTACAATAGATTGTCTCTATAAAAAAAACTGCAGATAAACAGATGAGTGTCCAAGTAGACAGATGATTGAACATGTAAAGGTACCTGTTGCCCAGCCTTTTAACCTGTTTTCAATCTGAAAGGTCCATATTAGAGAGAGTTGTCTCCTGCAAATTTTCTCTAACCTCCATCATGCTTGTGGCACAAGTGTGCCAACATAAATGTGCATGCATTAATACGTGTATGTTCATGCACATACACTAAATACATATATATTAAAAGGTGATGTGCCTATAGCAGAAAAAAATTGTTGAATCAACGATCACATTTCAGTGCCCTCACCAGAAAACAATGTTTGATGGCAAAGTTATGATCTAAGGACTAAGAGCAGAACAGAAACAAAACAGGGAAGAATAATCATGATGTGACAGTTCAGGGGCTGGGGAACAGGATGGAAAGTATACAAAATAAATACAGCTTACTTACAATTGCTTTAAAATTTAGTACTTCTCCCTTTAGAGCAAAAGCCATTGTACTGCCTCCTATTCCACCCTTATGTTTTGAAATTAACAATAGTGTAGCTTCAGAAGGATGGAGGAAGTGACTTAAAAATTTCAGAACGAGGACAATTTGGTTTCTGTTTAATAAAAACAAAAGACAAAATATTTTAATGAAATAAAAGACAGAAATATATTAGGTACACATTATGTTTAGTACCTACACCCTAAACTGTATTTACTTGTACCAAATAGTAAACAGCATTGAAGCATGAAGCCATTTATATAAATTAAATTTAACTATCAAGTATATGTTTAACATAATCACCCACTGGATTTTCTAGAAAGGAACAATATGAAGCTATACACATTTTGTATGAAGTAAAGCATACATGTTCTGTACTTATTCTTGGTTGTGTGGAGAAAAACAAATTTTGAAAAAAAAAACATTTGAATAAGAATAATAACTGAAGATAATTTTGAAGGTACAATCTAATAAGGGTAGATAAAGAACAGTATTACCTTAGTTATTTGAGAGAAATCAATTAAAAGCTGAAATAAAATATACCTAGTTCTTTTCATTTTTTAATTTTATTTTTTTACAATATATTCATTATATGTCACAATTGAAGTCCCCTACCTCAACTCCTCCCAGTTCCCCCTCCCTCTCCCTACCTATCCCCTTCCCCTAGTCCACTGCAAAGGGGGAGATCTCTTCCTCTGACATCTGCCCATAGCTTATCAAGTCTCATCAGGACTGTCTATATCCTCTTCCTCTGTGGCCATGCAAGACTGCATTGCCAATGGCAAGTGATCAAAGAACAAAAAGACAACCTCATGACAGAGGCAGTCCCTGCTCCCCTTACTCGGTGACCACACAGAGACTGAGCTGCCAATCAGCTAGTTCTGAGCAGGGGGTCTAGGTCCTCTCTGTGCATAGTCCTTGGTTAGTGCATTAGTCTCTGCAGGAGCCTCTGGACTCAGATTATTTTTCTTTTCTTTCTTTATTATTTTTTATTAGTTACATTTTATTAACTCTGTATCCCGGCTGTATCCCGCTCCCTCATTCCCTCCCAAACCGTCCCTCCCACCCTCATCTCCTCCCTGCCCCTTTCCAAGTCCATTGATTGGGGAGGACCTCCTCCCCTTTCATCTGACTCTCGTTTATCAGGTATCTTCAGGACTGGCTGCAATGTCCTCCTCTGTGGCCTAGCAAGACTGCTCCTCCCTTGACGGTTGGGAAGGTCAAAGAGTCTGCCATTGAGTTCCTGTCAGAAATAGTCCCTGTTCCCCTTACAGAGGTTCTAGGTTATATCCATACATGGTCCTTGGTGGAGTGTCAGTCTCAGAAAAGCCCCCTGTGCCCAGATATATTTGGTGGAGCTCCTATCCTGTCCATGTCATACAAACTCCCCCTTCTTTCATATGGTTCCCTGCACTCTTCCGAAGGTTTGGTTATGAGTCTTAGTATCTGCTTTGATACACTGCTAGGTAGAGTCTTTCAGAGGCCCTCTGTGGTGGGCTCCTGTCCTGTTACTTGTTTTCTCCTAAGTCCAATGCATCTACCATTTGTTTTTCTAAGTGAGGCTTGATCATCTTACCCTGGGTCCTCTTTCTTGTTTATCTTCTTTAGGTGTACAGATTTCATTACGTTTATCATATCTTATAGGACTATATGAGTGAGTATATACCATGTGTGTCTTTCTCCTTCTGGTATACCTCACTCAGAATTATCTTTTCTAGATCCCACCATTTAGGTTTTTTGGTCTCATTATGGGGCTCCTATCCCGTCCATATCCTTCTATTCTTGTCTCCCTCTTTTTTCATAAGACTCCCTGTGCTGTGCCCAAAGTTTCACTGTGAGCCTCAGCATCTGCTTCTATCCCCTGTTAGGTGTAGCCTTTCAGAAGAACCTCTATAGTAGGCTCCCATTTTTTTTCCTCTCTTTCACATCTTGTGGAGTCTGTCCAGTTTTCCATTCTGAATGAGATTTGAGCATCCTCCCTAGGTTCCTCCTTGGTGTTTAGTTTCTTTGCGTCTGTAGATTTTAATATAACTATCCTATATTATACAGCTAATATCCATTTATAAGTGTTTGTATACCATGCTTGTCTTTCTGTACTGTTTTACCTCACAATGATATTCTGTAAGGCAAAAGACATTGTCAATAAAAGAAAATTCAGTCAACACTGGGAAAGGATCTTCGCCAACCCTACATCTGACAAAGGACTAATATAAAATATTTAAAGAACTTAAGAAATTAGACACAAATGATATATCCCAATTTAAAAAGATGTACAGAGTATATACCAAGGGTGTCTTTGTGTTTCTGGGTTACCTCACACAGGATAATCTTTTGCACTTCCATCCATTTGCCTGAAATTTTCATGATTTTCTTTTTTTAATAGCAGAGTAGTATTCCATTGTTTAAATGTGCCACAATTTTTGCATTCATTTCTCCTTTGAGGAACATCTAGGTTGTTTCTAGATTTTGGCTATTATGAATAAAACTGCTATAAACATGTTTGAGCAAGTGACCTTGCTGAATGGTGGGGTATCATTTAGGCATATACTCAGGAGTGGTATAGCTGGCTCTGGAGGTAGTACTATTCCCATATTTTTGAGAAAGCATCAGATTGATTTCCAATCAATTTTTCAAGTTTGTACTCCCATCAGCAATGGAGGAGGTTTCCCTTTTCTCCACATCATCTCCAGCATGTTTTGTCACTTGTGTTTTTGGTCTTTGCCTTTCTGATTGATGTAAGATGGAATTTCAGAGTTGTTTTGATTTGCATTTCTCTGAGGACTACGAATGTTGAGCAATTTTTAAGTGTTTGTTTTCCATTTGATATTCCTCTGTTGAAAATTCACTGTTTAGCTAGTATTGCATTATTTAAACTGAATTATATGATATATTGGTGTCTAATTTCTTGACTTCTTTATATAATCTGGATATTAGCCTTCTATTGGATGAAGTGTTGGTGAAGATCTTTTTCAATTCTGAAGGCTGTCCTATTCTGTTGACAGTGTTCTTTGCTTTACAATTTTTTTTTCCATTTTATGAGGTCCCTTTTATTAAACGTAGATCTAAGAGTCTGACCTGTTGGTGTTCTGTTCAGGGAATTGTCTCCTTTGCCAATGAGTTCCAAGCCCTTCCTCAATTTTTCTTCCAATAGATTTAGTTTGTCTAATTTTATGTTGATATCTTTGATCCACTTGCACTTTAATTTTGTGAAGGGTGATAGATATAGGTCTATTTTCATTTTTCTACATGTAGACATTCAGTTAGACCAGACCCATTTGTTAAAGATGCTATCATTTTTCCATTGTATGGTTTTGACTTCTTCATTAAAAATAAGGTGTCCATAGGTATATGTGTTTATTTCTGAGTTTATAATTCAATTCCATTGATCCAACATTATGTTAGCATACAAGTACCATGCAGTTTTTATAACTGTTGCTCTATACTCCAGCTTGAGATAAGAGATAGAGATACCTGCAGGATATCATTTATTGTAAAGGAGTGGTTTAGCTCTTATGTTTTTTTTCTTTGTTGTTGTTATTGCATATAAAGTTGAGAATCTTCTTTCAAGGTCTGTAAAGAATTATGATGGTAATTTGATGGGAATCGCATTGAATCTGTAGATTGGTATTGGTAAGATGGCTATTTTCACTATAGGAATCTTACTGAGCCATGGGCATGGGAGTTATTTCCATCTTCTGATATCTTCTTTAATTTCTTTCTTCAGACACTTGAAGTTTGTTTTTTTGTTTTGTTTTTTTTCTTTCTTTCTTTATTATTATTATTATTATTATTATTATTATTATTATTAATTACACTTTATTCATTTTGTATCCCCCCCATAAGACCCTCCCTCCTCCCCTCCCGATCCCACCCTACCTCCCCTTTCTTCATGCATGCTCCTCCCCACGACCACTGATAGGGGAGGTCATCCTCTCCTTCCTTCTGATCTTAGTCTGTCAGATCACATCAGGAATGGCTGTATTGTCTTCTTCTGTAGCCTGGTAAGGCTGCTCCTCCCTCAAAGGGAGGTGATCAAAGAGCAGGCCAATCAGTTTATGTCAGAGGCAGTCCCACTTTCCATCAATATGTAAGCCACTTGGACACTAAACGTCAGGGGTTCTAGGTTATCTCCATGAATAGACCTTGGTTGGAGTATGAGTCTTTGGGAAGTTCCCTGTGTTCAAATTTTCTTGTTCTGTTACTCTCCTTGTGGAGTTCCTGTTTTCTCTAGCTCTTGATATTTCCCACTTCTTACATAAAATTCCATTCACTCTGCCCGCCAGTTGGGCATCAGGCTCAGCATCTGTTTTGATAGTCTGCAGGGCAGAGGCTTTCAGATGCCCTCTGTGGCAGGTTCCTAAGTTGTTTCCTGTTTTCTTCTTCTGGCTTTCAGAGGCCCTCTGTAGCAGGTTCCTAGGTTGTTTCCTGTTTTCTTTTTCTTCTGATGTCCATCCTCTTTGCCTTTCAGGATGGGGATTGAGCGTTTTAGTTAGGGTCCTCTCTTTTGCTTAGTTTGTTTAGATGTACAGATTTTAGTGGGTTTATTCTATGTTGTATGTTTATATGAGTGAGTATATACCATGCGTGTCTTTTTGCTTCTGGGACAACTCACTCAGGATGATCATTTCCAGGTCCCACCATTTACCTGCAAATAGCATGATTTCCTTATATTTCACTGCTGAATAATACTACATTGTATAGATGTACCACAATTTCTGCATCCATTCTTCAGTTGAGGGGCATCTGGGCTGTTTCTAGCTTCTGGCTATTACAAATAAAGCTGCTACAAACATGGTTGAGCAAATGTCCTTATTGTGTACTTAAGCCTGTTTTGGGTATATGCTTAGGAGTGGTATGGCTGGATCTTGAGGAAAAGCTATTCCTAGTTTTCTGAGAAAGTGCCAGATTGATTTCCAGAGTGGTTGTACAAGTTTACATTCCCACCAGGAGTGGAGAAGGGTTCCCCTTTCTCCACAACCTCTCCAGCATGTGTTGTCACTTGAGTTTTTCATCTTGGCCATTCTGATGGCTGTAAGGTGAAATCTCAGGGTTGTTTTGATTTGCATTTCCCTAATGGCTAATGAGGTTGAGCATTTCTTTAAATGCTTCTCTGCC